ATTTCACACTAATTTGGACAAGCATATCTTCAGTAATAATAATTGGGTCACAAATCTCTGTCCAAACTCTGAAATGTTAAAATTAATAAGACCACATTACTGTGCTTATTAAAAAGGTAAAATTATAGATTAAGTGAATGTCTTTCTTTCTAAATAACTTTTCACTTTGGTTGATCTAATGGTACTACAATTTCATTGACATACTAGCCCAACTCATTTAATAATCAATTCATGACGCTCTTAAATTTTGCATAATTTAAGGGCAAAGGTCTTCATGAAGTTTCTTTTCCTTGGAATGTTTCTCACTTAACTGGTAGCAATAAGGGTAGGACCATTGTTCCAGCTACTCATTTTGTTTTCAGATGAGGAGTAAGGAGTCTCTATGTTGCTTGGAACTAAACAGTGATTTTTCATAGGGAAAGCATGCAGATGAAGAACTGGAGAAGCCAAAATTCTCTCCATGAGAAAGAAAATGAAAAAAACAAAAAAAAAAAAAAACAAAAAAAAAAAAAAGAAGAAAAGATCCTAGAGAGGGGACAGAATAGGATGGGTGGCCAGAAAAGCAAGGACAATGTTGAGAAATGCAGCGTTCTCTAACTTTAATGTGCATCAGGTTCAAGTTGGAATTCAAGAGAATCATAAATTGATTATTAAATAAATACCAAAATGCAGATTGCTTGGCTCCACCCCCAGAGTTTCTGTTTCAGTAAGTCTAAGACAGCGCTTAACAATTTGCATTTCTAACAGGTTCCCAGGTGATGCTAACGTTGCCGGTTCAGAGACCACACTTTAAGAACCAGTATTATAAGGGATATTCAGGGAGTTTTGGTTTAGGGTGTATGGTGTGACTTTCCAGATGACCATCCATCCCTGTTTGACAGAGACTAAGGGATTTCCCACAACTTGCAAGGCTAAAACTGGGAAGTCTCCAGTAAACCAGGATGACTGGTCATCCTACATCGTATCTCCAAGATATTTCAGGAAAGAGCTAAAGTATTGGCTAACACTTTTGTACCAAAATTTTGTGTGTTTTCTTTTTAGTTAATTGGTTGATTAATTTATTAATGTTAATTTTTTTTATTGGAATGTTGAGATTGACCTCAAGGCTAATTGCATTTTAGAGGTTGTCATCTACGATTTTTGCCCAAGGTGCAGTATCCTGCTACAGCTAGAACTGGTTGGCACCTAAAACTGAGTAAACCATCACCGTGACTATCAAGTGGACAGTATTTTGGTTCAGTAGAAAATGAAAGAGCTCAAAAAGAGGAAGAATGTTACTTGGACTACCGCTTCAAAGTGATAGTACTCTGACAAATTTCTCAGTTATCACAATTCCAACTTTTGGGGAAACTCACTGTTATGGAATGAGTGTTTCACACAGAGTTAATTATATACAGTATTATGTCAGTTCGAGATGGGCCAAGTTTTAATGGCAGTAATAAATGCAAAACCTATTAAGCTTAAGTCAACAAAGATTTATTTCTTGCACATACCGCCCAGTCTTAGAACTCCAAAAGAAAATGCTCTTTTGCCATAACTTGTTATATCATAATTCAAGAGACAGCACAAAATAAAAAAAAAATTCAACTGAGGAGCTGATAATGGGATTTCCCATCTTAATGATGACTCTTTTTCACAAAATAAGGACCTATAGAAAATAGAGAACATAAGGGGAATATTAATGGTGATCTAGTTTTAAAACATGGTTCTAATAAGTGAGGAGGGTATAGCTCAAGTGGTAGAGTGCATGCTTAGCATGCAGGAGGTCCTGGGTTCAATCCCCAGTACCTCCTCTAAGAATAAACAAATAAGTAAATCTAATTGCACCCCCCAACAACAACAGAAAAACATGGCTCTAATAAAATGTAACTTCATTAAAATCCCCAGAGGTGGCTATGTTAATGTTAGGTCTTGATCTAGTGACAGACCTTGGAAAAGTATTTATAGGCTATCAAAGATGTCATAATCCCAAAGTGGACAAGTGGTAACAATTTCATTAATTTTGTAGGTAGTAAAAGTAATTTACCAACAAACTACTGGAGTATTTTATGATGACCTCTTAGTGCTTCTTAGCATTCTTAGGTAGTATGTTTTCCACTGATGATTATTGTCTGAAAATTATTATTCAGTTATGTGAGATAGTGCCCTGGAATCTAGTTTTTTACAAAGCTCCCCAGCAGATTTTGATGCAATTAGCCCACACCATGGACACTTAAAAAAAAAAAAAGAAAGCTGTATTTTTGACTTGGTGAATGGAAATACAAAGGAACAGAATGTAAATAAAAGGTTAGTGGCACTAATAAAACATTCAATTCAGTATAAATTGAAGATTATTTTAAACCATAAGCCTATGGTGTTATTTTATGACTCAGTCTGTAGTTCTAATTTCTACTCATGGCTCTGCCACTAACTTCCTATGCAATTTCAGATAAGTCACTTTAACTTCAGCTTCTTCTGTAAAATGAAGGCAAGTAGACTATTAGTGAAGATCCCTAGTTCTTTAGAATATGGGGTTTTAACTCCATATTTCCTTGAAATTTCCCAGTTATCTTAAAGGAATGTGTGGGATATGTATAGGGGTCAGATGTTTAATGTAAGATCTTGGTGGTAATTATTATGGAGAGAAATGTCTGGCCTTGTCCAAAAATGCTTTGCCTTAAAAAAAAATGCCCACTATTTCTAGGGAAGGTCAGTAGCCTGCAGAGTACAGACAGGGGTTCAGGACATGCTAGTGCAAAATATGGCGCCTTGGCACATTGAATATTTCAAGAGTGAGGAATTTGAGAAATAGCATGTGTGGTAAGGACTGTCTGATCTTCCAATTAAGCAGGTCACAAAACATAGGGAGGACATTCTTACCTTCCCCTGAAATAGGTCACAAAACCCTTACGTGAGAGGTGACCTTTCTATACCCAGAAGAAAGATGCCTCCTGATTTCTAAAGACAAAGGGACACAGAAATCTGAATAAACAGGCCTTGCTAAGTTTCCTTCAGTTTATTGCACTCACTTCATATCCTTTGTCCCACCCATGACTTCCTGCTCTCCATCAAGTCTAACAGAAAACCCCTCAGGTTTAAGAATTCCTTCAGGTCTTTATTCCTTATGAAGGCTCCCGTAGCACATAAAACTTAGATTATAGAAGCTTGTATGCTTTTTACTTCTTAATCTGTGTTTCATGATAGATGCCCTAGGTGAGAACTCAGAAGGGAAAAGTAAAAAGGTATTTTCCTGCTGCTACAGAATGTGTATCATGGTTGAGCAAGTCATGGGGTCTGGGGTCAGATATTTGCAGATCATATCAACCTGTTGAAGACTAGTTCATCTGAACATGATCTCAGATAGATTAAGTACAGCATGGACTAAATGATAAAACGAGAGAGTACAGGGAAAGCAAAACTACGCATCACATCAAAGTAGGATCCTGACACGCTTTTATTCCAGTGGTTTATATACGGTCTTAGCACGTCACTTGTGCCCCTCTTATTAATAAGAAAATGGCAGAGAGGTATTAGGGAACCACTCAGTTTAATTTGGGAAAGTTGCTTAAATTGGAGAGTGTGAATTAGCTTTGACCCAGAGAAAGAGCTGAACTGAAAACCCTGAGGTTTGTGGCTCTAAACAAACCCTTGATGTATTCCTACCAAAGACAACATGACTGAGGTTACCCAAGAGATCACTTTGCTACAAAACACTGCCAGCTATGCACAAGGTAAAATTACAAGACATAATTTATCTGCAGCACTCTTCAAATACTTTCACCTCCAGCTTCCAACTCCCGATACTATACTGGAATTGTGTGAGGTCAACGCAGGCTATAAAAGCCTTCAAATTTAAGTATCTAATATGTGAAAGCTATTTGGGGGACTAAAAATATAAACGATACATAGTGCCACCCATTAAGATGGTCATGCTCATTATTTAGTGGGGAAAAAAAATGCCGCAAGAGATGCTAACAACAATCAAACTTAAGGTACAGAGAAGCCTTCCTTAACTAAAATACCCCAATTTCTAAAATAATCGCTTTCCCCAATTCCCATAGAGTATTGCAATCTATCTACCAGAGTGCACTAAGAATACTGATTTTTTAAAAATCCTCTTTGAGAGTGGCGTCATTTGAAGTTCTCTTTAAACCTAAAAATTCCTTAGCAAAGTTCATTCAGCAGTAAAGGGCCCCTCTGGACCTTCAAGTTTTAATGTGAAAGTCTAAATCTTTGCTCCACAACCAACGGTCGCTCTCCCACCCTCCAAAGCTGAGGAAATCAAATGCCTTGGAACCGAATGTTTTAGTGATTCAGATCACTTAAGTGAAAATAGAAATAACCTGGGCAGGAAAATGCGCACTTTTTTAAGAGCTTGGGGATTGCAAACATGGGGAAACGCCGCCACCTATAGGTAAGGGATGGGATCATCAGAGGGGAAAAAAAAAAAAAAAACAACCCTACGGAAACCTTCAGGATAAGCAGCTGCTTTCATTTCGAAGCATCAAGCTGCGCCACTCCAGCGTCCGCAGACGAGGTCGGCCCCTCCCGGCTGTTCCGACCACTCAGCGCGCCCTGCGCAACGTGATTGACAGGGCAACAGCCCAATCCGTTACCTAAACTCATCCCTTGGGAAACAGCGACCCGATGCTCCCGGAAGCTCGGGGTCCGCGCTCTCCCAGCATCCTTTGCCTTCCGGCTCTGCTCGGGCCCCTCGGGCCAGTCCCGCCTTGCGCGCCCATTTCGATCCCGAGTGTCAAGCGCGACTCTCCGGACTTGAGCCTCCCGCGCACGTTTTCCAGGACTGGGTTCTTGGCCAGGGGGCCAGAAATGGCGCAGCTGGAGGGTTACTACTTCTCGGCCGCCCTGAGCTGTACCTTTTTAGTGTCCTGCCTCCTCTTCTCGGCTTTCAGCCGGGCGCTGCGAGAGCCCTACATGGACGAGATCTTCCACCTGCCGCAGGCGCAGCGCTACTGTGAGGGCCGTTTCTCCCTCTCGCAGG